ATGCATGACATTAAAATGAAAACTTAAACCAGTGGAACCACCAGCAAAAAATTATATGGTAAACCTACCTGTGTCCATATCTGCAGCCAAAATTTCTGTTTCTTCTATGATAAAACAGAAAGTTCCAATGTTTAAAGTTATGTTTTTAGAGATAATTAAATCATTATAGAGATAATGAAATCATTAAAGACACTTCAATAATAATTTTGCATTAGAAATTTGTCTTTCCTTTCCTTTTTTTCTTTTGAAGCTCTGGGAATTGAACCCAAGGTGTTCACACTCAGTTATATTCCCAGACTTTCTTATTTTCCATTTTGAAACAGGGCCTCCCTAAATTGCTAATTTGTCTAAGCTGGGCTGGAATGTGACCCTCCTGCCTCAGCCTTCTAGAGTGCTGGGACTACAGACCTGCTCCAGCATACCCAGCTTGTCTTTCCTTTTGAAAGAACTGTAGAAAGACCCCAAACCCGGCATCTGCTTTCATTTCTCTAGCTGGGTAATTGGAAAGGCTCCAGACAAACTCTGTAGAACTCTCGCTGGCCCAAACCAGGGATGTCTGCTGGTGACAGTGAGAGACAACGGCCTTGGTGCCGCAGGTCCAGTGCCCAGCTGTGTAAACGCACCCATCAGGGGAGAGTCTCTCTCAGCTCTACACGCCCGAGGCCTTCCCACAAGGCTGGGAGCCATGACTGTCGCTGACCAGCCGAAGGCAGAGCTGGCCCGGAGAGGCTGCTTTCACCTTAGGCCCTCTTCGGGTCGCGCACACAGCATCGCAATGGCTTCCGTACCGGCTGCGGCTAACGCTAGGCATCTGGGATGCAGTAGTCAGGAAAAGAACAAAGCCTCCCTCCCTTACTCAGAGCTCTGCTTGAAATTTACACAGGACTGTTTTCCATCTTTACTCTCCTGTGCTAGAACGCTGCCCTCCCTGGACAGCGTCGTGATTTCTCTGACCTGGGCACTTGGAGGCAGATTCCCACCAATGTGTCACTCAGCTTTGCCCGAGGACCAGGCAGGGGACAGCAGAGCCCAGAAGGGCAACCTCACTCTGCTGCAGCAATGGCAGACTTTGTTCCTGGAGCTCCCCTGTTCTCTCTGGGACCTCACACAGTTCTCTGGGACAAGAGAGGCTGCTCAGGACTTTTCACAAAAGCATCTCCTGGTCAGAGACTTCAAAGGGAAGTAGGGGGAGTCCGGAGGCTGAGACTAGAACACAGCACAGATCTCCAAGGGCACGACCGTGAGGAAACAGCTGTTGTCCTGGTTGTACAGAGACGGAGGATATCTATTCAACCCCAACCACAGTGACAGAAATGTCACTGCTGATAAACAGGTGGGCAGAGACAGAAAGGAAGCACATATTTGTAATGTCTAAAACCAACAATAAATTAATATCTACAGCATAAAGGGGACCCTGAAGGTCAGTAAGGAAGAAGCCTGCAATGAAAGAAGCCTGGAGTTAAGCAAAGATTATGAACTCATGAAAGAAATTTGAACTAGTGAGCTGACAGAAAAAGAAGAGGAAACCAGAAAGGCTGGTGTGGATTTAAGTCATTGGTTATTATTTAAAAAATCAAGTAAATAAGCAATGCCATCACTTGGAAGTCAGAGCTGAGCAAAATTAGGAAGCTGTATAATGCTAGGTGTTGGTGAGGGTGGGAGAGCTCGCAGGCATCACCGGTGGGGAAATTCGGACTGGTACCGAGCAGCTCTGCCAGCGAACATGCAAGCGCTCGTAGTTAAGGAGACACAGACGCACAAGCTCAAGTCTCCCTGGCCCAGCGGAATGTGCCACAGAGGTTCTCCCACATCTAAGGCAGAGGTCGTGCTTCCTCGGGTGACTGTGGGCCCAGTACATTGTGGAGAAAGTGGGGAGGGTCACTTGCGAAAGACAGCACGGTGCGCTGTTTCATACGGTGGTTAGGAGCCACGGGTGGATGGACACACAGCGGCTTGGAAAAACTTTAAAAACATATTGCTTTTGAAAAGAAAGGCGGGGGACGAAAAATGAGATCCACAGCAATGCTATGCGAACTAAAAACGCGTGCTCGCGAAACAGTGCTCACGAACAAGACGAGGGGCGCTTTGAATGGCTCCAAGAGCATCGCTCAGCTGGGGAGGAGGGCGAGAGGGCCAGGGACAAAGAGGAGAAGAGGGCACAGGAGCTGGTGACGGTCAAGCACGGGGAACCGAGGAGCATCGTTCACGCATCCCTGCTGCCGAGACCCAAACCCGCGAAAGAAGAAAGGAAAGCAGGAAAGGAATACTCGCGGGGTGAGAGGGGATGGCTGCTGCAGGGCGCAGAATGAGGAGTGACAGGGGCACAAGGATGAACTGAGGACAGACGTTTAGGGAGGCGTGATCTCAGCTAGTTAGTCCCCCAGGAAGGCCCGGTTCTGATGAGGACTGCGAACTTTGGGCAGGGTGTGGGCTGGGACCTCGAGTCCCAGTTACGAGTAACTCTGGAAAGGGTGGCCCCGAACAGCTGGAGATTTGGGACACCTGCTAACGCAAGTCAATAAGAAGACATGCTATAGTTCCTCCGGTGGCAAACTCCCAGGAGCTGCCTGGGTTTTGAGAAGCAATCGGAGAGGGAGGTGTTTAGCAGAGGTAGACGGTGTCGGCAGGCGGTGGATGGGAGTGTAGCCTGGGTTTGCCCTGCTGGACGGAGGTCTCTGCCCGAACTGTTGCTCGGGTGCCGTTTTCGGTCCCACACGCCACGCTGCGACCACGCTCAGAATCAGTTACATGGACATATAAGGGCGCAGTGGGTCTCCAGTTTTGTTTCAGTTACTCTGTATCCTGAGATACTAGCAAAATTTTTTGCCTTGAGACTCCATTGCAAGGCAGTTTAAACATTTTTAGTCAAAGAAAGTGCTACACCATATTGCTACACACGTCACAAAAGCGAGAGCACCTTGGTTTTCATATGTAAGTTTTCTATGATAAAAATAAACTTACCTTGAACCTCAGGGTGTCCAGCTCCTAAAGGGAAAAGAAAAGCTCAATACAGCAAAGAAATCATTTTCACTTCAATAAAATATACTTAAGTGATAATTTTAGAAGGAGCATCACAACTTAAAATTCATAGTTACCAAAAGAGAAGGAAACTATGAACTGTTTGCCAACTTAGTTTGAATTTTGTTAGGAGATAAAATTTTTTCATCTTGCCTTTAAACACATACCGAATTTATTACAGCAAAGGGAATCATTTAAACTTAAATTTTAGAAAGAGATTATCAGTATTTTAGATACATCTGAACATATATCAATGGCAAACTTACTATATACTTACATAGAATGTGTAACTACTTTTAACTTACGTGATAAAAGAAGGGCTTATAAAAGATAAGTGCAATCAAGATATCATCCAAGCCGCCTTCATGTAGTGATGCTCGGCTGGCCATTGAAAGCAGAGCCGATAAATGCATTAATGCTACACCTCCACTCCCTCCCTCCCTCCTTCTCAGAGGGGAGAGTCAGGAATCATCACTGACACGTGGAAGCTAGAACCCAACGTGAGAAGGGGGCACCGAGGCAACGGTGACCATGGACTGAGCACGTTTCTGTATGAAAAAAGGCTTTTTCTGTCGTAGCGGAGTTTCTATGCTTAAACTTTAGAGTTTTAAATGGATGGAGAGAGAGAGGGAGGAAGCGGGGGAGACATTTTTAAAAAGCCCAAAATACTGAAACATTGAAAAAGTGAGATTAATCCATTCGCACTTTTTCTGTCTCCTTCCTGAAAAATTGGTCTTTCTTCCTCTCTTTACTGAGATTAAACTTAATTTCACAAACAGGCATTTTTCTCAGCTGCTCTTAGACCTTTAAAACAAATGATACAATTTGAAATCCAGAGAAAGTGTATCATTTGGTTTAAGAACTGGTATCAGTGGAAAATTAAGCACAGTTTCAGCCAGTCCAGTGCTGCTGTTTTGAGCAACGACAAAATGGAATCATCCATCCCTCAGTGTTTAGTCGGTGGGAGGCACTTGTCCCGGGACATCTGGGACATGAAAACGATTGGGTTCTGTTTTCAAAGTTTTAACTGTGGAGGAGGAAAAGTGAGGCAAGCTCAGACAAGGAGCAGCACAGAGGGACGGAGCAGGTGCTGGCACGACCTCCTACCTTTTCGTAGGAGCCCGTCCTGGGAGGCCCTGGACAAGGTGGAGGAGGCGGAGCGCCCCACATGTGACCCTGGGAGTGAGAAGGCCGAGTTAGAAAGGAGGCGCGGGAGGGCTCAGAGAAAGGCGTGCTGAAGGTGCATTTTAAAGTTTCTGTTCCAGGAAACGACACACTGGCGTGAGTTCCTCCCCCTCACGTGAGCGCTCATCCTGTCTCTCTTGCCACTTTCTGAAACAGCTCTGGAGTCCTCTTCTGTGTCTTTATCAGGTGTGGTTTTATATTGAATTCATTGGTTGTTATGGCTTATGCCTTGATGTGCCTCAAATGCCTCATCTGCTCATAGGTGGGTCCCTGGGACTGGGTCCCTGGTAACTCTCCCACCGGCTCGGCAGCTCGGCAGGGCCTTCCTGGCAGTGGCAGGTGTGCCCTGAGTTTGGTGGTGGTGAAAGGTGCTGTCCAGCCAGCCACCTCAGCCCTCCAAAGCCACACAGGGAGATGCTGCTGCCCAGCTCTGGGTCCCCAGTGCCCAGTTCTCTCCAGTCCTCTACCCAGGCTGAGGCCGCCTGGCCAGCAGAGGCTCGGTTCAGTTCCCCCTGCTCGCCTGGGGCTTCTCCCGGGGCTCATGCTGCTGCCCCTCGGAGGTCACCAGGCCCAGTACGGGCCATCTCCTAGCAGGGGCTGGCTGTGCGGACCACCCTGAGACTTTTCTCTCAATTGCCCGTTTCCCTGTCACCTCTGTCCCGGTTGCCAGAGCTTTTCCCCCTTTCCCTCTGCAGAACATATGTGGCGCGATAGGAAAACACAGTGGATATTTACATTTTAAAAAATTTATGACAGCAAAAGATGTATTGCCATGAATACCAGCAGAACTCGCTGGAGCACACTCATCCCATCGTCCTCGCCACTTCCTGCAGCAGCTCTGGAGTCCTCTTTCCTGAGGGTCTTTACTGCGCTGTCCTGGCTGCCCTCATGTCCTGAATGGACTGAAGGCATTGACCTTCCGTGGTCATTTTGACTTTGGAGAAGAGCCGGGAGTCTCAGGGTGCCAGAGCCAGTGACTAAGGGGGATGGGATGCATTTTTATGAAGCTGCTTTTCTGTTTGATGGCACTCAGCAGCAGCATTCACCATAAAAAAATATGATTTCAAAGGATACAAACGAACAGCTAAATGAATAAAGGAAGAAAATGCAGGATATGTCAGAGGGATTACACAAAAGTAGAGATTCTGAGAAAGAACCAAACAAGTCTTGGAAATGGAAAGCTCCATGAGTCAAATAGAAAACTCAGCGGAAAGCCTCACAAATAGACTGTGTCAACCAGAGACAGACTTTTAGGGCTCAAAAACAAGACTAGTCACACTCACTGAGACAATAATAAAGGAAAAAGCAAGAAATTTTAAAGAAATCTAACACAGTTATAAGACAAAATTTAAGAAATTTTTGATGTAGAAGAGGGCACCAAGGTACACCCTAAGGGCATAAAAATTTTATTTTATGAAATAATAGCAAAAACCTTCTCAAATTGTGGGAAATATTTAGAAGCTCAAATAGTCATGACCAGAAAAGAGCCCCCCATCATGTTAGATCGTAGTTAAAATGCTAAGAGTACAGAACAAGGAAAGAAAATACTGAGAAACTAAAAATATAACTGCCATGTGGCCCAGCTACACCTCTCCTTGGCATGCGCTCAAAGGAATTGCATTCAGCATGCTCTGAAACACCTACACACCTGTGTTTACTGTGGCCCAATTCACAGTAGCCAAGACACGAGCCACTCTAGCTGCCCATCCATGGATGAATGGATAAAGAAAATATAGTTTAAATACACAGTGTTATAGTGTATGTCATTCAGCCATAAAGAACAAAATGATATCATTTGCAGGAAAATGAATGAACTGGAGATCATCATGAGAAGCAAATAAGCGAGAACCAGAAAGACAAGTATTATATGTTTTCCATAAAATGTAGAGTCTACAAAGAAAAAAGCAAAACAAACAAAAAGAGCCAAAGATGATATAAAGGACTGTGTGGAGACTATTATTAGACAAGAGGAAGGTGAACATAGTATGTCTGTTTTTTCTCATTGTTGAGACAAAATACCCAACACATGAAGTTAAAGGAGCAAAAGGCTTATTTTGGCTCCGTTTGTGGAGGTTTCAGTCCCTACTCAGCTGGCTCCAAGGCAGAGAGGCATTGCAGGGGAGAAAAAGTTCATGGTGGGCAGAAGGCAGCAAAGCAGCTTCTTTTTTCCCTTTATATTCCACCCATCTGTCTTTTGGGTGGTGCCACCCACACCCAGGGCAAGGCACCATAAATCCCAGAATCACACATACTAATCCAGCCACCTATGACCACGTGGGGCTTTGGGGGACATCTAGACACAGCCATATCATGGTGTGAGGGTGGCGATGGGGGGATGGACGTGACCAAGACAGGTTACGTGTGAGTATGGAAATACCACAGTGAAGCCTGATATTTTGCAAAATTAATATGCACTACTACGAAACAGGTTTTTAAAAGGCTCTGTGCCCATCTCTTAAAAATGGCATGGAAAAATTTGAGATGGGAATAAAAGAATAAAAGAGATGTTAAAACATAAGCAAATGCAACATTTGGGTTCTTTTGAATCATTCTTTGAACATATTAACTTGAAAAAGACATTTTTGAGGAAGGGAAATTGGAACAAGCCTGCCATTAAATGACTCTCACTAGAGAGTTAGTACCAATGAGAGAACGATTTTACACACACGGTGTTTCTGTCATTTGAGGTGCACAAAGAAGCGCCCTGGTTTCTGAAAATTACTGTAAAATACTCCTACAAGCAAACAGCTGGAAGATGAACAGAATCATTGACATGTCAGCAAGTATGGCATTGGAAGGTGGGCGTGTAGGGTCGTTCTGACAGTTTGCCTTGTTTTTGTATGTGAGAAAATTTAAAAATAGCCTGAAATAACAACCAGATATTGAGTAGATTAACATGTAAGGTGAAAAGCCCATCCTTTAAAAAATGCCTCCTCATTAATATTCCTACTGCTACACTCGGCTATGATCAATTAAGTTTACAATGTACCTCAGAAAATTTCAGAATTCCTGGATTTAATAATAAAAAAAAAGTCATCTTGAAACAATCCTTTTTTTTTAATTAAAAAAAGTTTTGGCATTATTGGGGATTGAATTCAGGGCTTTTGCACTGAGTAGCATCCCCAGCCCTTTTTAAAATTTTGAGACAAGATCTCCCTGAGTCACTAATAGGCTCAGGCTGGCCTCAAACTTGTAATCTTCCTGCCTCGGCCTCCCAGAGTGCTCGGATTACAGGCCTGCATCACCATGCCCAGCTAGGGCTTTCAGTTACCTTCGCAGCCGACTTCATCCTCTCCTGTGATGCAGTCCACCTCACCGTTGCATTGGTGCTGGTTTGGAATGCAAACACCTGACTTGCAGAGGAGACTTCCGCGCTGGCACCCTGTGCGAACACAAGCAGGGAGAGGTTTTCCAGTTCTTAAAAGGAAATGAGGTGGACTCGTGAGGCCGACAGCACGCGTTTCTGTTGAAGCTGGAGGCCTGTGCTTGGGGAGGTGAAAGTCGGGGGAATGTCTACCTTTACAGCACAGCTCGTCACTTTGGTCCCCACAGTCGTTGACCCCGTTGCAGGCTCTGGCGAGAGGAACGTGCTTCCCATTGACACAGCGAAAGGACTCCCTTGCTGGGAGATCTGTAAAACAGGAGTCATGTGGGTGCAGTTTAGTGACGGACTTGTGCGTGACCTTCTTATCGCATTTTTAGGGCGACGGGCTCCTTAAGATAAAGTCAGACACTGATACAGTGGTGTGAATGTTGGTAGAACCACCACGGACTATGCAACTGACAAGGAAAAAGAAGGTGGAAGCTGCCGCGTGCAGGTGCCCCTTTCGCTCACGCTGAGAACCAGGTCCGACGCTGAAGGTCTCCAGCCCCCGGAATGGGGTCCTGGAGCCGGGACCATTCGCCGACAGGGGCTCACCTGGCCCTTGTCCGTTCCTCTCAGCCTCTCTACCAACCCACCCGTGCCCGAATATTGGGGAGGGACATTAATATGTTCATGGTCCTATTTGTTTTTTTAAGGCTTTGGAAAGGGAGCCATTGCCTTGCTTTTCACATCACACACAGGGCTGGATTATTCCAATGTCAAGACGGAGCGAGAAAGTGACAAAGACTGCGGGGGAACCGCTGGGGTGGCCACCGAGCACCGTGAAGGGAATTACCTAGGCTGGAACGCTAAGGAGAGGCTGAGGAAGGGGAGGAGAAAGGGATGTAAAAAAATATGAAGATGTGCATGTGCAGGCGCCAGCTTCCCGTGATAGACGTAATCAGGTGGATCAAGAAAAATAAAAACCGAAAGAAAAACGGATGCCCAAGAAGGAACAATAGGGAAAATCACCAACGTAGGCTCTAAGACCCTAGACACGGTACAGCCCCTGTCACCACCTCTGGCTGACTCCTGAGTGCCAAACATTTGTTATCATCGCTGTGGTGTGAAATAAGCAGAGAGGGAAAATACCAGGCCAGGGCTCCACCAACCTGCATCTGGAGCGTAACACAGCACGCCGGCCAGCCCCCGGTAACCTGGAGCGCTCTGCTTGGAGAACGCGCACTCGGCCAAAGAGGTCTCGAATCCATGACAGCGCACCTGCAAGCATTCTGTGGAGTTTATCTGGAGATCTTCAGAGTAATAAAACCTTCCCTGAGTATCAAGGGCGCCTCTGGAAGCAGAATAATGAAACGTGATGGTAAAAAAATTAGCAGTTGCAGTTAATCATCGTACTGTAGGAGGTAAATGCATAGAGTGATTTCCTCTCATTTTCTGTAAATCTATAAATGCTCTGCAAATCAGGTTACAGTCTCTCTGCCTTAGTATTTTCAACTGCAAAAGGGAATATATCTACTTCGCTAGGTTGTACAAGATTAACTAAAATAATCACTGTGGACGGACTCACCTGGAGGAGGACAAGGGGAAAGTTTTGTTATTTGTTTGTTTGTTTGTTTTTGTGGTACCAGGGATCGAACTCAGGTCCTTGTGCTTGCATGGCAGGCAGAGGAACCACTAAGCTAAGTCCCCGGCTAAGGGGAAAGATCTTTTAAAAATTGATTACTTTAACAGAAATTAGAGGAGGGAGCAGAGCACAGAATAAGTAGGGCAAATAATAAGTCCAAAGTAAGATGAGGAAAATAAAGTCAATAATGCAAAGTAATCACAATAAGGTCAAATGGGCTAAATGCTTCATTTAACAATGACTGGCTTATTGGATTTAAAAAACGCTCTCTGTAACACAGCGCACACATAACAGGAAGATACAAAAAGATGAAAGTAAAGATATGGGAAAAGATTGTGAACAAAAGAGTTAACAACTTCACTTATTCTAATAGTTAACATTATAGAACCATGTACAGAAGGTATTTAGAAAGCACTCAGTGCAAAACAAATGTCCACACACTTTAAAAACTTGTCATTCTCTGACATCAGTGGCATGAGATAGGAAATCAGTGGCAAAAAGTTAACTAACAGTAAGCTAATGTGTTCATTTGGAAAGTACAAAAAACCTTCTAAATTGCAAATAGATCTAAAAAATTGCATTTTGAACCGAATAATAACTAAAACATCACTTAGGGAATTTGTGGCAACCAGATGAAGCGTTACCTACACAGAAATGGGCACCCAAAATGTTTATGTTAGGAAAGTAAGAAAAATCGAAAAGGATCCAGTTAAGACTTTGATTCCAGGAATTAGAAAAAATATACCAGGGAAGAAAGAGGGAGAATTGAAGATAACAGCAATGATTGAGCAAGTAGAAAATAAAGAAACAAGGACCACTGCAAAATATAAGAATAAAAAAGACTACTCAGATAGACAAACCAGGGCTGGGGATTTAGCTCAGTGGTTCCGCTGCCTGCCTTGCAAGTGCAAAGACCTGAGTTTGATCCCCAGTACCAAAAACAAACAAACAAACAAACAGACAGATAGACAAACCTGAGCAAAGTTGAACAAGGCCAAACAAGGAAAGGCGTGAGTAACATTAGCTGTGGAAAAGTGGAAGTAATAATAGCCGAGTAGAGAGAGAGGGGAACACATGTTCCTGACACCCTCAAAGTCGCCAAAGGGTCAGCCCCACACTTGAGCCAACTCTGCACTTAATCCTCATAACAATGCTCTGAGGCTGGGAGTTACACGGCAGGTTATATAGCAGGGAGCTGCGGGACAGAGAGTTTAGGTAACCTGAAAGCCAGCAGTTGGGTTGGAACAATGCACTCCAGCCTGCGAGAAGCCCCTGGTCCGGCACTCACTGTTGAAATCCCAGGTCAAAGCAGGCCACGTTGGCTTCCACCATGCCCCAGTTGTTTTTACAGATGAACATTTTCTTATCTTGGCCCACAAGTTTTACTGTAACAATTCCCCTTGAATCTGAACTTTTATCACTGAAGGAAACACTAAATTCTCCTAAAGGAAAAAGAATGAACAATATTCAGGCATTCATTTTTTAAAAAAATCTGTTGAACTTAAGAGCCTTTAAAACAATAAAATATCTCATTTCAAAATGACTTTGAGGGCCATGAAGGTTTTAACAAACAACAGCAGGCATTTCCTTCAAGAGTACTTATGGGGCAAGGGCCACTTTCCGCTCACGTGGATGGTCACTCAGTCCTCACACCCACCCTGTGATGATGAAGCCTGTCTTTGTCTCCATTGTCACAGAGGAGGAATCTAAACCTAGCAGGCGGGATGGGGTGGAGGGAAGATGCTGGAAGAAACCCCAGGGCTGGGACCCAAAGGCTGAGCGCACCCAGACCTCGTGTCTGCATGAGTCTGCTACCAAGGCTTCCTCACTGATTCTGAGCCAGCTGGGTGGCCCTGGGACAACTCCAAAGGCAGCAGTGGGGCCTCAGAGCTGGGCCCTCTGGGTGCGTGGCTGGACTCAGGTGACCCCGATTTCTTCAGTTACTGCTTCGATTACTATTGAGGTGTAGAGCATTTCAAGGCCAAGGTCTTTCCTAAGAGAAAGGCTGGTGTACAATGGCCTTCTTAGATCACAAAATAACTTAATAGCCTGTTCTACCTTCAGCTGTGCATGTTCCATTATTTAAAAACTTTGCCTCTGGATGAAGGCATTCAAAACTCTTTAGGTGGCAGTAAGTTGGGAAGCTTTTCCCATTGGTCGAACACACGGAGGTGCCATCCTTGGGGCACTGATAGGGGAGTTTGCAAATGCAGGTCCCATCCACACACTTCTCCCATGGCTGGCAGAAAACTTTGCTGCAGGACCGATGTGTGTATTTCTTCAGTAAGCACTTGGCATCCACCAGGTCCTCTTGAGGGGTTGCTGGTGCTGAAGGGAGCTGTAAAACACAGAATAACCATCAGCTTAGCAGCAAACAGAAAGCTGCATTTTAAACACACATCAGGATGGTGTGGTTCAGTGGTTTTAGGAACCAGACAGACCTGGCTTCTTGCCCCAGGTTGGGGCACTATGGTCATGCAGATTTGGAAAAGTTACCCCATGAAACGTGGTTTCCTCATCTGCAGCTCTGCGAAGTAATTCTAGAGACTGGAAATCATATGTGTGCGATGGTCGGCAGGCATTAGGCGGGCAATTAATGGGAACCATTATTACCCTGAGGCCAGCATAAAACTGTGCCTCCAAAGAAGCCAATGAATCTCAACAATCATGTTAAGGAGCAACAAATTTGGCATTGAATATGTCTTATGGAATGCATTTGAATCATGCAATCTGTTAATTCTGTTATTAAATACAAAGCCACTCTTTGAGCTCCTACTATACATAAAGTCTTTCTAGGATGAACATGAACTGGTCTCCATGCCCCCAGGACTCTCTTTGCAGGCAGTGAGGTAGGACACACACACCAGCCGGATCCGGCAGGCTGTGCTGAGTGATGTAACTGGTATGAAAGCAGCACAGCAGACTGGAAAAGCGGGTGGGAGAAGTGCTCATTCTGGTCTCAGAACGAGGCCAGGAAGGGCAGGTGTAGCTGTTGGGGTCCGGTGTTAGCAACAGATGGGAGAGGGCTGCTGGGGAACACTTGGGGAACAGGTACAGCAATAAATTCCACACAGATACAAAAATAGGGCTCATACTGATGAGAATCAAATTTGTTTAAAGCAGAGCTTTCAAATGAATGTAAGTAGCACTAAGCTTTTTCTTTCTGTACTTATATATTCTTCCTGTAAATTAAATAAAAAATATTGTACTGCATTTTGGTGGTTCTTATAAAGGTTTTGATTAGGTCAGTAATTGCTTAAGTGATGTTTAATCCATGTTGAAATATTTTTACTTTTTGTTCAGAATCTCTTAAAACTTGTTTAATATTCTATCTTTGGTTTGGTTGTATTCTCAATGCATATATTTTTTTTTGTATTTAACCTAGTTAGTTTGGGTACAGTCAAAATAGTGGGGAGAATTATGTAGTCTGTTATTTCAAGAGATGTTAAATAATTTTACACTGTGCTGACTAGCTCAAGGGTGAATTCTATTAGTGTTGCTAAAGAAGAATATGGCAGTTTTTTTTTAAAGACTGTTTGAAATATAGTCTAACATCTAATATCATACTGGTGAGCCTTCCCCTGGGTGTTTATTGTGCTCGTTGTTCTTTGTTGGGTATCTTTTCCAGCTAATATGCCCTTAAAATTAAATGAAAAATTTTGAAAAGTAATGAAGTATGACATTATCCAATGAGAAACTTAGTGGTCAAATTATTAAAATGTTTGTGCTAAAATTTGGTTTAAAATGCAAATATAAGTGTCTACTTATATAGATGCTCATTTATTTACATCTGTATATATTCACGTATACTGGGAGCATGTGCCCCCAATTTTGGCTATTATTATAAATTATTATTATTACTGGTATGTAATGATTATTATTATTGGATTGAACTCAGGATCTTGTGCTTATGAGGCAGGCAGTGGTACTACTGAGCTAAGTCCCCGGCCCAGAGGAATTATTACTCTAGCCAATTTGTCTACTAAGCATGACCTCATCTCTTTTTAGCTGCTGTTGCTGCTGTGTTGTGTACAAGGACAAGGACTTTTTAAAAAAATTGTTTCCTTGATAGCTGTAGTGATATAGTAATTATATTTTTGTGTTTTTCTCTAGGCAGGAGTACAATGGAAGAAGTTTAGACAATTCCTAGAAAACAAAGCAGAAATCAAATAATCTCCTATTCTACATCTTATCAACCACCATGTACAGATAAATAGCTTTACCTCATATTTCTTTGTCACCTGGTTTTTCTGACGTTTTCCATATTTACCCTATAAATGGGGGTGGAGGGGAGAAAACATTAACTATGACCAAAGCAAGAAAGGCCCACCCCTCTCCCCTTTTTATGGGCATTATCAGAAATCCCCTTCTGTTGTCAGCCAACTGTGTGCTCTTGGTAAGGGATTTTCTTTCTTTCTTTCTTTTTCCTTCCTTCCTTCCTTCCTTCCTTCCTTCCTTCCTTCCTCTTTTCTCACCTTATTTTTAAATTTATTTTATGAGTGTATGTTTGCGGTACGTCATGATCGCAGTCACAGTGGGGAGGTGGTACTTGTACATAATATTTCTTAATTCTTGCTGGTCTTGCTTCTTCAGTTGTAAAATGTGGAAGATAAAAATAACGTTTGCACATAGTTACTTTGAGAATCAAGTAAAAAATACAGGAGAAAGCAGAAACATTTAAGATTTTATATCGGCTGAGGCTGTAGCTCTGGGCTAGAGTGCTTGTAGTAGCATTGGAAAGGCCTTTGGTTCAATTGCTAGCACTACCAAAAATACTGTCTAAGATCCTGTACACACATAAACGCTGTATAAACGCTAGCACGGCGAGGACTGTGGTAGGTGGCACAAAGCCCCACATTTCCTAGCCTCCTCTCAGTCCAGCCACGCTCTGTGCCTCTCCCGCGACCGGTTTTGTTCTTATCCTTTGCCTCCGTGTGCCTAGCTGGAGACGAGGGAAGCGATCAGATGTGACCCGAGATGCTTGCACCGTGTTCGTGCGTCCGGGTTTGTCCTTGGTTTCTGTGCGCAGCTGTGAGAACATGGCCAGGCAGCAAAAAGCCAACGAGAAGAACCACCCCTTCCCAGCCGCGCCCTCCTCTGTCGGCTGGTCCTGGCCCACTTGCGGGCTGCAGTCCGCCGCCCCCCCCCCCCCCCCCCCCCCCCCCCCCACCCCCCCCCCCGCCAC